AAGGACCTAAAATCTCCATCCCTTTCGGAGGCAAAATACCTCTGATCACAACCATAGGTGCCAAAGAAGAATGAAAAGAAGCCCAAAAATAGCAAAATAGAACATAACCTCCAATGGTTGTCTGACGTTATGGGAATAAAAGCGGGATCTCTATCACAAGGGTGGGGCATAGGCAAACAACACTCTTAATATGAGTATTTGGCGAGATAAGATAGGTCTGACGAAGTATCTGGATAATTTTGAGTCTACTATATATACACACACAAATATACATATATATATATATATAATATCAAGGTATACTATACTTTGAGAAAAAAAAATTCATCCCTCCCGTTACCAACTCCATACCATATGGTATCTCCTTCGTTGTTTAGTCATTTTCGGAAATTTTTGCACAAAAGAAACGATTTAATCATGATCTATTGGATTTCAAAATTTTCAGGGGGGGAAAATTTCAAACCTCTCGTTACCAACTTCATACCATACTATACCACCCTGGTATGAGGTGGTATTTTTCATACCATATGGTATGCTGTTATTTAATACCATATGGTATTGACTGGTATTAAATAACAACATATGGTATTGACTGGTATTTTCATACCATACTAGCTTTTTACCCGGCCTGTTGGCCGGTGATTTTCATTTTATCATTTAAATTAATCCATTTATCTATATGTTTAAACTATTTTGGATCTTCTAAATTTTTTACATTTGCATTCATACGTGAGTACGCGGTGCGTCTATAAATTAAAAATTCTCAATACTTAGCACATTCACTTATGATGCTTCGATTCTCTTATCATAAATCATGTCACAAAGATATATCACGTCCCATATAGAATCTTATGTCAAGATTTGTCAACAACGATACTCAATTTTTTTTATCTTATACATATATGCCATTAAATGAATCTCGAGTTTGGACGAACTCTCAACCAATGATGTTGCAGATGACGACAACCTACTTAGAATTTATTTTATAAAGGTATTTCAATATTAGATAAATTTGGTCATCCCAATTGAAAGTTTATTGTCTTAGTGTAAGATCATATTTGTCGATCAAGACACTCAATTTAATATCTTATACAATATGTACCAATTGTTAATTCCTGAAGTTTAATTTGGACTCACCCTCAACTCGTGGTCGTTGTTTAGAATCTCGGTCCAAGATACTCACACACTGTCGAGGGTTCTAATCTTAACATGGTCCACTGGTGTATAATTTTCTAACTTATCAAATATGCATTTGCTAAAATTTATTGATCTTTGGTGCTTGTTTTGGGATAAAAATTCTATTACTTATACTAATATCTTCATTTTGTTGGTGTAATGCCACATCTATTGTCAATATCTAAGCATGATATTATACTCTAAGTAAGAAAACGCTATATGGACCACGAATTAACCAGATTTGTCGGCATGATACTATACCCTAACCCTTGATGAGTGAACCCTAGGCCTTAGTTATCTAAATCATAGAGCTTAACCCCTAAGATTGTGCATGTAATTTGTTGCATATATTTTGACGAATCATGACCGTTGATTTTTGTTTATAATTAAATTGATCTTAGGGTATGAGATTTATAAATTTAAGACTTAGATTTTAATCTTTAAGGGTTTGAGAATAATACCATATGCCAAACTCTAGTCAATTCAAGGTCTAGATATCATTTTCTTACTCAATGTATGTCATAATATACATATAAAAATATAAAGAGTTTAATGTATTTTTAAGTGCAATTAACATATTTGTTTGACCGAAATATGTAAACTGTTAAGAAAAATAAGGGGAAATATAACAAATGTAACAGAAAATAAGGTATGGAAGCATGCATTATAAGAGAGAAGAAAAGTTGTCTTTCTTTATCATCTTCATTTGCACAATCAAGTACTATATTATGGCTGATTTGATAACTAAAACATAAAATTATAGTTGATTTTTCAAATTCAATTGATTATTAAATGTTGATTATCTAAACTTCCTTCATTATAACCTATATAAAGTTCTAATAAAATTAAAAATAAAAATTAATTGATCGGATTTAATAAAATATATATTTTTAAAAAATTACAATATAAATCACTCTCCAAACATAAGTATATTGTTGCCACACATATATATATTGCAAAAAACGGTTATTGAATAAAAAAACATTAAAAGAAAATAGAGATAGCTACATAAATGATCATTAAAATAAAAAGAAAATATTAAAAGAAAATTTGCCAAGTTAACTTATCTACATGCTTGAACTTTTTGGATCTTGTATACATTTTCTGCTCTCGCTTCATAAGTGAATATGTGGTATGACTATATTAAATAATATTTAATAGTTAGCACACTCGCTTGTGATGTTTTTATTCTCTGATTATAAATCTTGCCGTAAAGGTTTATCACGTCCCATTTAGGATCGTATATAAAAAAATTTCCACCAAGACGCTCAAATTTATTATCTTATACAACATGTAACAATTCATGATTCTCGAGTTTGTACGAATTCTCAGCCAATTAACCAGAGTTCAAATTATTGGAAAAAGATACGTGATTACTGGATAAATTATGTTTATCCCAATTGAAATTTGGCACACATCGTATCCCTTATAATGATTAAATTCTTTAAACCTCACTCATTTTTATTGTTGATGTTCATTAAGTCTTTGTATAGCAACTTATTACAATCGCTAATATTTTAAGTTTGTACTAACCCTCAACCCATGCCTTTTGTCTAGATGTTTGTTTAGAATCTGAATCGAAGGATTCATATACATTATCGAAGGTTCTCATCTTAACATGTTCCTTCAATGTAAAATTTTTCAACTATTTGCTAAAATTTCTTTATATTTGGTGTTTGTTCTATAACAAAATTTTCATTACTTATATTAATAATTGGTAAAGTGTGTATACCACAGACAAATATTTCAGGTGCATTCAAAATTATGTATTTCTTGAATAATTAACTTATAATTTTCTAACAACATATTTTGTAGCAAAATTTAAAAGTTCATACAAACATTGTGGCTTTTCACATGTATTTAAATTATTGGATGTATTGTAGACACATCTATTGTTAATATCTAAACATATATATATACAGAGAGTTTATTTTACTTTCAACACTAATTAATACCTTTGAACTCAGCTCCTTGGGTGGAATATAATATCAATTTTTTTTGTTATTGCCAAAATTTGGTATGAAATCATAGACTCACAGCTATATAGACTTGTTACAATTTTCTTACTAAACTCACATTTATTAAATATTCTTCTTTCGACCGAATAGCTCTGTTTACACTATGTAACTATAAATGTTTTTTGTTATATATGTGAAGTAAAACTTTAATGTTTATTTATTACCTCAATCTTTGAATTTAGATTTTTTTTAGCACGAAATGTGATGTTTAACATATATCCTTAACAAAGATTTCTCTAAATTTCACACATTTCATTTGTCAAGTGATCTCGTGTCTCATCCTAGAATATGAAGTCAAAGTTCATCAACTATTATACTCAAGTCATTTTGGAAACTTCAATTTATAATCTTTAACAATAAATAATTCCAAGTCTGAAAAGAAAATTTCTTAGCATATGATGTAAGACCTCAATAGAGCTTGCTCAATCAACATGACCTAGAGAAAATATTAGTAATGTGAACTTAGGATACATTATTAATACTACACATGCGATTCATATGTTTTCACTTGATCAGAATGAATACGAAGCTTTTTTAATAAATAACTATTATTTCTTGGTCAAGTTTCTTTCAGACCTTATCGACAAAATATTATTATTTTTGTGTGTTTGTTTAAATTATTCATTAAAATGTAAATTATTATTAAGTTTTAGTAAACATGAGCATAAATTTACATAGTAATCTTTAATCATATATTTTTTGGTTTAAAAAGTGTGATATATATGTGTCACTACGAACATTAGTATACTGTTGCGTACATCGATATAATGCAAAACCAAAATGTGATATATGTCACACTCCATGCATCATGATTGTCACGTCGGTCGGCATGCCACCGGTTGAACCATTCAACCGGTACCGGTCATGAAATCGCCATGACACCATCGGTATGATCATTGTACGAATTTCTAAGTAAAATACGTTGTTTTAGTGAATTTAAGTATGAGTGCATGTAATTTTAGTTGAGATATCATATTTTATTCAAATATCAATATGAATTGTACGTTAATTGTCTTCAAATATGGTTTATATATGATTAAATTCATTTGATATTAATGATTTTTTTATATTTCTACATATTTTATTAACCGGCATGAAACGACACAAACCGGTTGTACCACTGGTAAAACCATTCCACTTGCTAAACCGGTTTGAACCTTTCTCTCCATATATTATTTATAGATATAATGCAAAAACAAAAGCAAAATAATTATTGGATAAAATAGAATAAAATATTAAATGAAAAGAGAGTGACAACTCCATAAACATGTCAATAACTATTTTTTTGGTAAAAAAGTTGTCCATCTTGGCAGTTTGAGATCTCTCCAAGTGCTTATGTGACAAAAATTTAATTTTGAATTGCTATAATATTATGTATAGATAGATAGATAGATAGATAGATAGATGTGTAAGTGAGGAATAGAAAAAGTATTTTCTCTTCGTGGTTTTGTCTTTTCGAAAGGAACAATTTTTACTCGTATGTAATTATTATTTTATTTGCGTCGCTTTTAGCGAAAGAAGACATAACCTAACCGGTATCCTATCTCTTTTTCTCTGGGAATGAAATCTATCACTCCACCGCCCCACTAATCTCTCTCTCCCCGGCGATTTTGCTCTTTGGGAGGGCTGGAAGTTTCGCCGGCAACAGTTCACCCAATCCTTCGATCGCCGGCATCCTGTTGTTATCCCTAATTTGCCCTCTTTACATAACAAGTTGAAGTTCGCGGCAGGCATAAATCAAGGAGTTGGGCGGTGACTATACGCCAACCGACTGTTTTACAGCAACAGAAGCTACCTGGGCGAGAGATGTCTCTGGTGGATTATGCCTCCTCATCTGACGACGAAGAATCGCCGGAAGCAAAAGTAGCTGAAGGACCACAGGCTCCGAAACCGGAACCCTCGCCGCCACCTATAGCAATTCTTCCCACCACCCAGTAAGTTTCTGATTCTTTCTCTTCCCTGTTTTGTATATATTCGATTTGGTAATTGCGATGTTTTTGCGCGCTTCAAACTTAGCGTTCGTGAATGTGTAGATTCTTTGTTTTCTTTCTTGTGTGAAAGAGGATCACCGTTGTTTCTGTTGCTCTTCTTTTTGGTTGCTCGATGAGAATGAAGAGCAACTTTCGTGGCACTTTAATTTGGAAAATAGGAGGAGAAACTATTTTCCTGCCCTGTATTCGTCTTGGTCGTGCCCTGTATTGAGAGCGCTGGCCATTTGAGCTTATTTCAGTTTACAGACCACAAAATAATTGATATTTGGAACTGCATTTTTGCGTCATTACTCTCTTCCGAGAACCTCACTGGAGTGGAGAGCAAGTAATTTTAGGCTTTGGCTCGGTTCTTAATTCTTATGGTCCTATTCTGTATATGGTATGGTAGGTTTATTTTGGAGGCTCTGTGTAGGTTGAGTGCAACCAAATTATGGGCAGCCTTTATGGGGAAAAAGTGCTGGGTACATTGTAAATGTGATGCTGGTGGTACGATTCATGTCCCACTTATAATTTTGGTATTTTTGTAGGATGCATGGGTCATCATCAAATCGACTTCCACCACCATTGTTACCTGGGAAACTCCCTGATGCTTCACTTCTCTTGAACTCTCCGTCTAGTTCATCATCTGTGGGTGGAGCTGATCATAGATCATGGGTCGGAGTTGATAATCCATCACTAAAGAGGGACTCAGCTGGTCAACCTAACTCTTCCCGTCGCAGCAAATTGCCAAAGGGTAACAGCTTGCTCCATACAAAGAATACTCCTGATACCTCCAGTGGTGTGTTGGTTCCTCCTCAACTTAGAGGAAGGTGAGTTTCTAAAACTTTTTATGATTTTGTCTTAATTGGAAGTTCATTTGATCAGTTCAAAGTCTCTTGATTTCACCACCCTCGTAGAACCATGTCCTTTGGAATGATTGCTAATCTGTTTGATGTGCATCATGGTAACTACTTTAGGAAAAACACATTAACAAAAGCAATATGTATTACAGTATTAGCATTCACTCAAGCTCATATAAGTGGAGTTGGGGCAAAAATAGCTTCTCCCATCTGGCTTTGAGAGGTTTCTGAAGAAGTCCTGATACGGCTTCTATTGCTGATGCACGATTTGAGAATCATTATTGATGGAGTTATTATATATATGAATATGCTAACCTGAACACCAACCAAGGTCTAAGTTCATGAGAAGTTTCTTTGTAATTAACTCTTGTGGTTGTTGGAGAGATTGTCAGCCATCAATGAATATGTTAGGGGATCGTTGGAGCAACAATTTCAGTAGTTTCATGTGGTTCAGTAAGGCATTTAGTCTTTTGTCGTGAGTTTCCAGGCAGAGTCTTGCATAACATATATGATCAGTTTAAAACTCTACAGACTTTGCAATCTTAGTCTGCTCTATTAACTATAGGTATATGTGTCTTCACCATCTTCCCCATCTGTTGTGTAACTAAACAGTTTAGCTGATGAACGACCTTATTGTTTTCGGCAGGAGCAATGTTGTTACAGAAGATATGGGGAAGCTCTTCGTAAAACGTCCTGCATCATCGCCATCTGAGTAGTACTAGTATGCTTTCGCAAGTTTCATCTAGATCTAACATTCTTGTAGCTTTGGGCGAATACGTGGGGATGTATGTACGTCCTATCGTTACTTGTACCAGCGGACATGTGGAAACTGTAATTCGAAATTGTTATTGAGAAAATCATTTAGGATTGAACAAAGTCAATGTTGAGGAAGTCGCATCAACCAAACTTACTCCTGTTATTTCAAGAGATGTTAATGAAGAATCGATCAAAGTAGTTTTCGACCATTGATGAAGAGTTCTAATAGATCGACCTAACGAAGATTGAGTCACTAGTGCCGTCATACATCCAGGTTGCCCTTTCTGCCAAGCAGTACCCCTAACTCTGCTCTGTATTTAACTTAAGGAACAAGCATAGCGGTGAATTTGTAGAATGGTATCAACCTTCCTCCCAAATTACAGAGGTGGAGCTTTGACATTTTATTTGCGGGGAAAAAAACCAGAGACTAGCAGGTTTATACACAGCGAAAACCATCTCCACTCAACAGCAGCACAACATAACCCTTCCACGGTTATTTCCTTGCGGAAGATATACATCAACGCTTCCCAGAATTCAAAGCTTTAAAACAAGACAAAAAAACAACACACACTGCTATATACATATAGCTTTAATCATATGTGCAGGAGTTCTTCTTGAACTTGATGGGTTTAGTCCTGGTCGCATCAAGAACCACAGGACAAGTAATCTGAACTTTGTGTTTAGTCCTCACCAGCTTCCCCACCACGTCTCCCCTCGACTTCAACTCAAACTTCAACTTCATTGGAACAGCAGCTGTCTCGGCTGCCATCAAGCTCGATCCGGCCCCGTACAATGGCACCTTGTTGCTTTCTACCACTACCGTTACTGTTCTTCTGCTCTTCCTTGGCTGGTAGTATTTCTTCACCTGCATTAGTTCCCATTCTGTTAGCCGAATATATTTTTGGTTTGGGAAACTTGGGATTTCATTATGTTAGGAAACCAGTTCTGTCTATCCTGTTAAAACTTAAGTGCAGTTCATTTACCTGGCCAGTTGCAACTGGGATCTCGGAGTAAATGAGATTGATCGGTGTGGAGGTGACATGGATGCCGAAGATGGTGGCAGGGTTGTATATGCTCATCTTCAGTGACGCGTTGACTGTGAGCATCCTTGTTGTCACGCCTGAGAAATCTGAACCTTCTCCGATATAGAAGTTGTGCACTGTCAAGCTCTGCAATTTCAACAAGAAAAACGTCAAATCCAGACTCAGTTCACCAAATGACAATTTAGGATATGTTTGATACAACTATTCTATCGGACACTGGCCTGACTTACACCCACTTCTCTAATCATTCAACAAGATCAGGCAAATGGGAAACCTGGTGTCGGCAAGCTTAAAGAATGGAAATACCAACTACTTTTTACAACATTATACATCCATTTTGAGCCTCTCACGTGTTGCTGTAGCGAACTGATATCTTAACAAGATGACATAATCTTATTGACAGAGAGAACTGTGTTTGAAATCTGATGATTCGCATATTAACATTCACCTAAGCCTATAGCAGTTGAAAGGATGCTTTCTTTGTGGCCATTGACGACAAAGTAGCCCAGAACCAAAAGCAAAGAGTCAAAGCAGCGAAGAGCAGTGAGTAGATTCGAGTAGTGCTTTCCCTTTCACTTGCTTGCTAACTTTACCATTCTTTTGAGTTCGATTCTTCAACCCGGACATGGTCCAGAAGGAATTCAAAGTAAATCAAAGCAAAAAAGGGAAATTCAGGCATACCTTGACCGATACTTGTGCCTTGTAAGGCCGACTAACGCCCCAAATAATCAAGCAGAAGACGGTGAACAAGAGGACGAAGCTGAAGAGAGCAATCAAACACTGAAACCTCCGAACAAACGCCTTCTCGTCATCCTCATACCCACCTTCCTCCATTATCACATTACACTCCGGCCAACCCTTCTCATTCCACCCACCCTTCTGCGGGTTGTCGCTCCTCTTCCTCCCGCCTTTCCTCCCAGAAGACGACCTGAATATCCCGGAAAACCTGCTCGCCGACGAGTTCCTCGAGTGCCGGCCGAACGACGGGTGGGAGGGAGACTCCATCGGACTCGCCTGCATCGACGACGACTTGTCCCCGTCGTGCGAGTCCCTCGACGGGCTCTGCACGTAGTACGCCGGCCGCTTCGGCGACCTCGACGGCGACGACGGGGCCAGGCTCGTCATGTCCGACTCGGATTTCGCCGAATGCATTTCGCCGGGAATTGTCGCTTTCTAGAGGGGAATTAAATGAGTACCCAGAGACTGAAACACCGGGAAGTTGACAGAAACGAAGTCCCAATCGGGAATTGTGAAATCGTAGGGAAGCTTGAGGGGAGGGTTTGCTGCAACAGAGGGGAAAAAGGAATAAGTGGGTTCTTGGAACTGAGGAGACGACGACTCAGTGGAAGTGGAGAGAAAAGCACAGGGAATTTGCAGTAGTGGGTAGAAAGAAAGGGAGGGTTTTGGTTTGTGTTTTTTAATAGTGTTTGTTTTCAAGTTGCTGCTGATTCGCATGCCACCATTTTTGTAAGAGAGCGGCAGAGGCAGAGCAGACCGACACTCTGAGCTGAGAGAGTTTGTGTGTGCTGTGTAGTGGTGGGTGGTTTTGTAGGTTCGGGTGCCGAGCCAGGGGGCTAGTGGGTTCGTTCGTAGGGATTGTGTCGGCAGGCCGGGAAAAAATATTGTTCGGTTTTGCTTTTTATTTTCCTTTTTGTATTGTGTGGATGGAGTTTATTTGTGGTCGTTGAATGAATGGGATAATAATATCTGTTTTATTATTTATCTTTTTGGTGGCTGCTTTATTACGATTTGACCGTGTACCTACTTGCAATATTTGTCCTGTCTTCGTCGGACTGGCTGGACAGACTATGTTCGGGATCGGAACCCTACCGGCCAGGCCAGCTGAACTATTATTTTGTACTATATTATTTAATTATAATTGATTACGATGGGTTAGTTGGAGAGACAATGGTACCTTGATTAGAGATTTGGAGGTATTGTCATTGGGGTAACTAAGGGTTTTTTTTTTTTTTACAAAAAACACTGAAATTCCATTAAAAGTAGCAGAAGCCAATCATTACAACAGGGGAGCAACCACATCAAGAATCTGTAGCCATTGTGAGGGCAAATGGTTTTTAGTACATGATCTAGCTACCTAATTAGTTTTAGAGTTGTTCTTTCTACCGATGTGCTTGATCTTGATCAGCGGATTATCGTCCAGCGTTTGTTTGATGATACCCAGCCAGGCTGCCGCTCGCCATGGCCATGTCTTAGGATGACTATGAACTGCACAAACCAGGGGCAAGCAGTCAGATCGCACCAGGCAGGGAGATCTGAGGGAAGCAGCTAACCGGGAGCCCTCCAGCAGGGCCTTTGCTTCTGCTTCAAGTGGGGAAAAACAGTGCAGAGTCTCAGCTTTACCATCACACACTTGATCATGGTTGTTCGAGACAACGACGCCATATGCCGCCTCCTGGGAATCGTCGAAAAACGATCCATCGCAGTGTACTTTAAAGTCATGAGTACTTGGCGGTGATGAAGAGTGCTCTTGGGGTGATGAGCTGAGATGATGGGGGACCTATGGTATGTTTCCTGGGGCACGTGGTCCATTGATGGTGCGCCAAAGCTGCCTTCGAGATTGTGGAGGGGGGCCATGGGGCAGTACTTTTGAAAATCTTCTCGTTCCTCGCTTTCCATGTCTGCCAAACAGGTAACTAAGGGTTACTGTTACTCAACTAAATAAATCTCGGTCCTTGTACTTCGTTAAAATTCAATAGCTCAGATTAATTCAATTTAATAAAAGATAATGTAGTAATTACACAAGTTATTTATTTAATCATAAAAATAAAATAAATAAATATTTTGGGGTCCACTAGCGAGCTATCCCACCCATAATCGACTCGGCGGAGAGCCAGCCGATTTACGGGGGATTCTCCCGATGACATATTTTTGGATATATTTAGAGAGAGAGAGAGAGAGATTTTCCGGCGATCGTCAACGACATATTTTTAGTAGACCAGAGACAGCGGAGACGGATTTTCCAGCAACACTGCTGGATTCGTGATGTTTGTCGACCTATTTTGTAATGTTTATAAATCCAGTTTGTAATATTTATATCAATTCGGTTTGTATCGTTTATCATTCTAGTTTGTCATATTTGTTTATTGTGTTTGTAATGTTTACATGACTAATTTGTATATATATATTAATTTATAATATTTGTTGCTCTAGCTTGTATACTTTATGTTATGATTTGTATACTTTGTATTCATTGTTTTGTAATACAATTTTACCGATTTGTATTGTAAGTAGTGTTATGTTTGTCGGTCTATTCTGTAAGGTTTGTTAATTTAGCAATGTTTGTCAGTTTCTTTTATAATGTTTGTAAGCTATGTTATTTTTTTGCACCATGTTTAGCCTCCAAAGTCAACCCGAGTGTTTTTTCCTATTTTGTATGGTTTGTCGCATAGTTAGTAAAATACGGTACGGGAAAGTTACGTATAAAATACGTACGGGTATTATATTTCATCTCTTAGCTAATCTTACGTTTAATAGTACGTTAATAGTCATAAATATATAAAATTAATTATTTTTATAAATAAATAAATATGTAAAAGATAGTAAAGTTAATAATTTATTTCATTAAATACGGATATTAAACGTGTTATACGGGTTTTGTACGTGTTTAGTACGGGAACAGTCAAATGAACGGAAACTAATGAAACAGCTTGACAATAATACGGATACGGAAGTTTTAAACGGATAAAGTACGTACGGGTACATATACGTGTATTAAACGGAGTATTTACTAACTATGGTTTGTCGGTCTAGTTTGTCATTTGTATCCACCATGTTTGTAATGTTTGTATGTCTAAAAAAACAACCGGGTTGACTTTTGGACGAAACCCCTCTATACAGGGATGGAGCCTCCTAAGTCAACTCGGTTGTTTTTCATTTTGTATGCTTGTATTGTTTGTCGGTCTACTTTGTATTGTTTGTACAGTTCGTATGTATTGTATTGTTTGTAAATCTGTTTGTATGTTTTGTCTTTTTAGTTTGTATTGTTTGTACTGTTTGTAAGTCCGGTTTGTATACTTCGTAATTTTTAATAATACCCAAATTACCTCTGCCACTAATTAAAAGTCTCTTCCCACTTTTTAACCGTTGTATTGATGTGTTCAGATCTAATGGTCAGGAGGGGTTTAGTCGTGGTATCCACCCTCATTGTCATTCAATCGCAATACTCATATTGTGCGAACATAACTCATTAACGATATTTGGGTAATCGTTATTCTTGTTTTCTTCCGTTCATGTCTATCCAGATCTCGCTTTTCTCCATTCCCCTTTACAGTCTCTTCCTCCTTCAAGTACTAGCATCAATTGGTGGTCTCTTTATGTGAACTTTTCCATTTTCCATTCATTCATTTTGATTCCCCCTTTATGGCGTAGTGGATTTCGCGCAAGCAAGATGAGTTTGCAACCGACGTTTGTCTGGAGCAAATCTAGGGTTCGTTGCAGTTCGATTTGCTGTGCAAGAACGATTAGCGGTGTAGATTATGGTTTTCAGTCGAGCAAGATGTGAGTCAACACCGAGATGCAAGATGTTCGTTAGTTGACAATGGATGTTGTTGCTAATTGCGATTCGATTCCCCCTTATTACCTCTGGCCGTGTTTCCTTCCTTTCGAGCTAGGAAAAGCAGTGACTGATGCCGAGCTGGATCAAATAGAGGTCACTTGAAACTTGAAAGCAATGTCTTAGAAATCATATTAGACCGACTGATTGGATCGAAAATATCAGACCTTAAATGGTAGGCAGTTTTAGTGGTACGAAAAGATTGAATAACGATTCAATTACGATTTTAGAACAAAATATCGTCCACTCGCTTTTGCGTTTAACTTCCGTACGGTTTCCCAATTATTGTTTGTAAGGCACAGTGAGAGAAAGAACAAATAGAGTGAAGAGTCTGCTGAAACTTATTACGGGGGACGAGGGGAGGGAAAGAAATTGCAAGGAAGAACAACAAGATTTGTCGCAAAGGTTTCAATCACTAAGCCCAAAAATGTAATGATATTACTAAAACTAATGAGCAGAAATCTGGATATCGTTTGGCGGATATGTTGGATCGGCGAAATTGGAGTTGGAAGGATGAGGCAGCTACTGTTGACAAGGTGTTTTGGAAGAAGGTCTGGGGGTTCCAGGTGCAACCTAAGTTGAGGTTTTTCTTCTGGCAAGTGCTCAGTCGAATTCTACCCACTATGGAGGGTCTTCGGGAGCGAGGTGTTCCGGTTTTTGCTCGGTGCCCGGTTTGCTGGGCGAAGGAGGAGACCTTAGAACATTTGTTCCTTGAGTGCCTGGTGGCGTTGGCTTTGTGGAATTTTTTGGGGTTGGCTTCAGAGGTGGTGGGTATCCCTCGGCTTAATCGGGCAATATTCCTTCGGTGCATGTTGGAGCGGAATGACTCCCAGAATCGGGTGCTCCGGGTGGTTTGCCTCCTTTGGAGGATTAGGAAGAGCCGGAATCTCGTAACCTTTGAAGAGACGCAGATGACATTCACGGCTTCACACCGTCAGTTTCAGGTGCAGGTTGCGGAGTGGGAGTCCTGCGGGACGGTGGGTGGTCTAAGTCTTGGTCAGGTTTTGCCTGTGGAGATGCCGCAGTCTGGTGAGCAGGCGTCTGACGAGAATCTGGGCATGGTATGTTCAGTGGATGCGGCGGTCTGTAGGGGGTTTCATGCGGCGGGTGGGATGGTGCTAAGGGACTTGTCTGGTGCGGTGGTGTTGGCCAAGGGGATGCTGTTTGCAGATATTGATGATTCGGGTATGGCAGAGCTTTTGGCACTTCGTGAGGCGGTGCAGTGGTGTCTTAGCAAGGACTAGGATACCGTACCGGACCGGCCGGTCGGACCGAAAAAACTGGAAACCGGACCTGGCCCGGCACAACAGGGGCTGTGTACCATCCAAGATCCTGCCGGGCGGTATTTACGGTTGGACCGCAATGGGCCGAAATTTCGACGGGTTTTATTAAAACCGGCGGTCCCCTTAATTTAAGTCAAACGGCGCCGTTTTTGACCAAGCTAAAAAAATGGAAGAGAAGCAGAGACGAAACCCTACCTTCGGCTGCTGCTGGCGTCCCCAGCATCCAAACACCGCGCCGCTCTTCTCTTCTCTCTACACTCTCCTCTCGTCTCCCCCGCGCCGCTCTGCCTCTCAAACTCCTTTCCATTTTCTCACCACCGGAGACAGCATCCTCCCCAGCATCCAAACACCACCGGCGACTCGTCCTCCCCAGCAACCGAAGACATCGTCGTTCACAACCGCGCCGCGCCGGAGGAGAAAGACGGTTCGGTTGTTAATCAAGTATTTGGTTACCAAGCTCAGTTTGGATAGCGATTCAGAGGTTTGTTCAATCCTCCATTTGATCTTTCATTTTGGAATGTGTCAATTGTGGTGAAGTAAATGTAGCTCAGTTTGGATTTCGAATTGGTATGCTTGATAGTTGTTCAACCTTAAAATTCAGAAACTGAGGAAATCAAACAAATGATATAGTAGTATATAGAGGATTGTTGTTGGTTAGCTCGGAGAGATAGATTAAGGGTATCCCTTGTGCTTGAACGATTTCAAGCT